ATCGTCGACCAACGCCATTTTGAAATCCAAGATGGCGGCTTCCGGTTATAGAAAAAATTTTAAACACTGTTAAATACCCTTCAATATGGGTATTTCCTACAACCGAAAGCCACCATCTTGGATATCAAGATGACGTCTGACTATGATTTCCGGTCTCTATACGACACCCAGATTCTGGAAATACCCATATAGAAGGGTAATTGACGATATTTCCCAGTTTTTCGATTACCGGAAGCCACCATATTGGATTTCAAGATGGTGCCTAACATTGATATCCGGTCTATATACGTCATCCCGATTTCAAAAAATACCCATATTGAACGATATTTGCTAGTATTTCCAAGTTTTCCTACAACCGGAAGCCGCCATCTTGGATTTAAGAATGGCGTTAGACATTGATTTCCGGTCTTTATACGTCATCCCGATTATTTTTTTTTTTTTTTTTTTTTTTGCTTTATTAGAGAGATTTTCAGCCTTGGGCTGGTTCATCTCTTTCCCGATTATAAAAATACGCATATTGAATGGTATTTGACAGTATATCCCAATGAGAGAGAGAAGGATTAGTAATTTCCATTTAATTCCGCTACACAGCAAAAAAATAATTTTGATATCACGTCAAAGTGGATGCACTACAATCATGTCGAAAATATGGTGTAATATTACTTGCTAAAAAGGATAAAATTATCATTAATACAATGCATGCACTGACATTACGCTGCTTTTACTGCATTTGTTTATTTATGTGGTCATAAAAATTACATGAAATTTTCGACATGATTGTAGTGCATCCACTTTGATGTGATATCAAAATTATTTTTTTGCTGTGTACCTTATTTGCTTATCCTTGACAGATACGCGTATTTCGTCTACAATGTGCAGACTTCTTCAGTGTCTTTCACTAATGCTCGACTATTAGTACAAGTGTTATTAGTGAGTCGAGTATTAGTACAATACACTGAAGAAGTCTGCACATTGTAGACGAAATACGCGTATCTGTCAAGGATAAGCAAATAAGGTAGTGGGATTAAATGGAAATTACTAATCCTTCTCTCTCTCATTATACAGGTATTCCACTAAGACGCCACACATTCATCAGGAGTATATCCCAGTTTTTCTATAACCGGAAGCTGCCATCTTGGTCTTCAAAATGGCGTCAGACATTGATTTCCAGTCTCTAGACATCACCCCGATTCCGAAAATACCCATATTGAAGGGTATTTGTCAGACTTCAAAATGATTTCCAGTTTCTTTGCTACCAATATTGTCTATCAAAATATTTGACAATTGAATTAACAACTGTCGCTTGGTAAAAATATTTAACTCACCTTTTTGGAGCCACTGCTATTTAATTCTTGCAAATGTTCTGATCCAAGAACGGTATACCCGGTTTTGGTTACATATAATTGAACCATGTACACGGTTCAGATCTCGTGAACCAAAACCAAAATTCTAGCACACACGGCCAATCATACCAACTCAGCGACTGAGAATAATTGACTCAGATAATTTTCTTTCCATACGAAATTTACTCAGACTAATGATAAGATAAGCTATGAGTAATTGCAGTTTCTTCCTAATCTTAGTAAATTTCGTATGGAAAGATAATTCTCTGAGTCAATTATTCTCAGTCGCTGAGTTGGTATGATTGGCCGTGCATCGGTTTTCGGTTTTCAAGCTGCGGTTCTGAACATCAACTCGAAAACCGGCAGTCGGTTTTGATTTAGAACACACTGCACTGGTACACGAAAATTCAGCCGAACCAGGGTACACGTACACGAGTATTTTTTTGAACACGAACCAGCACATGGTGCGCACCGGTTGGTTCAGTTGCCCATCTTAAAGTAGATTTTCTGCACTTAAAATCCCAAAATTAGTTATTGGTTAAACTATAAAAAATATATCGGGCATTTTATTCCAGAGTGCATTTTGGCCTATTTTATCGTAATCATGTAGAACAAACAAAAAAACAAAAATCGATGATGCCCCAGTTTCAGCAAACAAAAACAGCAATCGACTAAATTTTCAATAGCGTAGGGTAACTGATGATGGTTGGACCTATTTAGGCCGGTTTCACACAATGTCAACATTCATGTCGTATTTTTTTTTATGAATTCAACATATAATTATAAAAAAATGCGTGATGAGGGGAAAAATCAACCTTTCTTGTTTCTAATAATAACTTAAAAAGTTAAATATTATGAACAAATGATTTTATAAAACGTTTTTGTTCAGCAAAGAATTATGATGTTGGTTGGACCTATACTGATCTTGGTTGGACCTAAAAAATGATGATGGTTGGACCTATTTTTGCAAATGCTAGTTTAGCCCATATTTGTTCAAAAACTTTGTTTAGAGCTTATTGGTATCATGAAAAAACCCTTTTTAAACAGTTTTTGTGAATTTGCTATTTAAAAAAAATCAAGAAATTGGAGGCGAACCAGCCCAAGGCTGAAAGCCTCCCTAATAAAGTTAAATAATAATAATAATAAAAATCAAGAAATTTGAGTTTACCTTCGTTTTTAAAAAAGTTCACTTTCCACGCATTAGCTATTCATCATGGCTCATTTTCTCGGAAATCATTGACCCGATTTGGAAATTTTTTAACGTCAAACTATAGGTATTGTGGTCCCATTGAAAGCTATCAAATATTTTTGGAATCGGTCAACTGGTTCCGGAGATATGGCCGGAACAAGTTACAGGGTATATGGATCATGGACCTAATTTTGATATGGAAGGAATAAAACCTATCATGCGACACTTCACATTACTTCCAAATTCGATAACAAGATCAATAACAAAATTGAGTGCCTTGGACCACATTGGCCACTTCCAGCATGTTCTGGGTGCCACCGGGAAATTTAGGGGCTTAAAATGACCAAATATCAGAACTTAATTCCGGTTTTATAGTTCTTTTTCTCCTAGGAGTTTTTTTTTTCGGAAATAGGTTTCAGTTAACAATTTTTAGTTTGATAACATTTTATTTCAAGTTAATTCACACACAGAAGGTGTATGAGAAGTGCTTAATGTAAATTCATATTAACAGATTCTTTCGGCGCTTTCGTGGTAGTTCGGAAATCGGTGGTTACCCTTTCAGCCAACCTGACGATGGAATTCCTTCTTTAAATTTACGCCCAACTAGTGACGCAAGGTCTTTAGCAGCTTCCAAGATCTTTTTGGCCGTCTTGGGACTGCCAGAAGCAGCGCACATACAAACCCAATCCCCTAGCTGGTTCTCCAAATCAACACTCAACACTATTTCCCTTCCATATTTCTTGCCGTGGCTTCCCTTAATTTTTGCGTGAAGTGTCGTTTTCGGAATATTGTACCTTTTCTGTGCCTGATACGCGGTAAGTGATTTATTTCTTACTAAAAGAACAGCCTCTTGAAGATTATCGATCGTATAACTCTTTTCTTTAGCCATTTTTTCAATCGAAGAAACTGATCACTCGGCCAAAACGAAATCGAATTTCAAATCAGCTGCGCGTAGGATGTAGACAAACCGAAGCGCACCTAGCGGCCGTCCTAGGAAACACATAGGTCCAACCATCATCATGCGTAGGTCCAACCATGATCATATTTATCTATTCGAATTTCGTCAATTATTCAAACATTTTAGTGAAACCAATGAATAAATGGCGTACTAACGTGTTGTTTACACCTTAAAGCAGTATATTACTGCATGAAAATAAAAATAAATGTAAGAAGTATTCCTTTTTTGTATGTTTGAAAGTAAGGCATAATGACGAGCTAATGCGTGGAAAGTGAACTGTTTTGAAAGCTCATTGAAACTCAATTGTTTTGAAGTTTTTTCAATAAAACACCCATGCAAATTGAAGAAAATGAGTTTTTTTATGATAGTAAAGTGATCTTTGAAAAAAAAAAAAAAATAGCGAAGATTGACTAAACTAGCGATTGAAAAAATAGGTCCAACCATCATCAGTTTTTGGATAGGTCCAACCAGAATCAATTACCCTACCAATGACGCGTTCAAGTAGATAAAATTGATAAATAGCAGATTTTTAGCGATGGACCCAATCTTAGATCCATAGGCCAACATTAGAGCCATTTCTCGTGCTATACAATAATAATCTCCGACAATTTACAAATCTTTCGTTAATTATTTTGTTTGCCGAGCGCTCAGCAGTTGGCTGAACAAATTTCCGAAGTCGAAAATATTTTCTAAGTACACACGTTCTTGCCCATTTGCCCAAGTGCACACATACTGATCACCTCAGGTAAAATTACCGTTTCGGTTTTCAACTGTTTTAACATTATTATTTTAGAAAAGTAGTTGTAATTTTAATTTTACTCATCACTGTTTGTAGTGAATGATTTGGGTTATTCTTAGTGTTCTTTTCTTTATACAATTGCTGCCTTTTGATTCCATTCATATGAGCGTATTACTTCTACCGTCGAAAACCATGCGTCTCCATAATGTCAATCATTTCCCTGAGGATGAATGGTGCGACTCAACCGTTCCTCCAAATGCCTTCTAAAATGTGATATTATTTTCGAACCGATTAATATTATTCGTGAAGCCAGTGCAATGATTGCAAGAAGGGAGATCCATTTTCAGTGGAATCAATTTATCTTGGATGGATTTACATAGCGAATGGTTTTCGGTATGGAGTATGGAGCGTGGATGAAATTCAGGACATTCGGGAGAAAAAAAAGGTGGAAAAGCAGAAACATCAAAAACACACTATTTGATCCATCTCTACAGTTCAGTCTTCATTTCTCGTACAATCAGTACCGTTATCAAAACAACTATGCGGGAACGAAAAAAAAAATGAAACGGATACTCATTCGGGGGACAGACACAAACGAAGTCTACTTTTAGCAATAACGTGGGTGATAAGAAAGTATGTAAATTAATTTCAAACTAAACCAGTGATGGAAGAAAAACACGAAAAAACGACTGAATCTGTCTTCTGTCTAAACGAAAAAGCAAACAGTTCCTGGACGGCGGTGTATCTGGGTGGGCGTGCTATTATCTTTACCAGCGGTGTTCGATCCTCTCCGTTGGCGGTGGCAGGATTGAAGTCCACCATATTATCCACCTTAGATTTGCATTTATTTAGGTTAAAGTTTTACGTACGTTCGGTTTTTTGATGGGATTCGCGAAAGTGCATTTCCGGGACAAAATTGTGGGAGAGATTAAATATATAGAGAGAGAGAAAAAACAGTGGAGAAACGGAAAATCGGGAGAGAGAGAGATTCCAGAGAAAAAGACATCATTTTAGTTCAGCAGCTTGATTGCTTGATTAAACACTTGTACACATTCTGATAAGTTTGTGCGAGATGAGAATGGCTGGATGATGATCGAACGAAATATCGAGGTGAAGATGAACATGATGATCCAATTCAGGCAGCTCGACACACCCGTTTAGGTTTCGTAATTTTGAACGTGTTAATCCGCGCAGCCAATGGACAGGTCCTAATCCGGTGGGATTAATATTTTTACCCCGATCATTATTTTTAGATTTTGCAACCAGAAGTCGCCTCAGACAGTGGCGAGGAACGATTTTTTTTCTCATTTAATTTTCCCGTTAATCCATCATTTGTCGGTGTGAACATATATGTGTCTTACCGAGCAGACAGACAACGGATGGGAAAGATGTTATATTTCTTGTCGTTGCCAATTTCCGATGCGATGTGTTCTCGGGCCATGTGTTGGCAGGAAGCGAAAAACTTCTGGTTGCAAAAATAGTCGTGTTTTCAAACTTGCTATGAGATGCTTTATTTTTCTTTCGTTTCCAGCTGAGCCCGTCTCAACAGACGGGATGAGCCGAGAAACTTTGTCTGCTTTCAAAATATTGTTTTCGGTAGATGTGATTACACTGGCGCGCAGATATGTTGGACCGTTTTGTTGTTTGAGGAGCTTTGGTGACTTGCAGTGGTAGAATAATGTGGAATTATAGAAAAATATGGAATATATATCTTTAAATATGCATTATATTGTTCAAATTTTTGACCGACAGCTATTACTATCTTTTTCAAGGAGTTCTATAGTTCAGGTGTGTTTTCAATAATCTTACAGTTTGAAATGATTATAGTATATTATACGTAATCGGTCTCGTTTTGTTTGATTGTTATATAGAACTTCAATTTGGGTACATTTATCTGATAATATTTATTGGTTATTTATGCGAGTGGTATTATTTATTCTGGCTTTATATTGGCATTATCAGTCTGGTGGAAATTGAAACGGTTCATTTCTTATATCCAGAGGTTTCTTCCCGGATTTATTTGGCCATTTTCTAGGGGGAAAAAGTCTACAATTTTTCGTTAATTGTCCATAGTTAGCAGTATAAAATGTTGAATAAACTTTTGTTTTCCTTAAAAATTCGTCATATAAAACAGGCCGAAACGTTGGGAAATGAGAAATTTAACCATTTCACTTCCCAATAGACTGAAAAAGCCAGCATCATTTCAGTTCAGCTTTTTGGATTCGATTGCATTATACTATTGGAAACCGCTTCTCTTCAACCACGGGTTGGTTGAAGGATTGTTTGATCAATTGTCAACCCGTTTTAGTTGGATCTATGTTTCAAATTAAAAGATTGAATAGTACTAGGATCGTTTTTGGGACATTTTTAAAAAAATCTCAGGATTGATAGAATAGTATCTTGTTTTAAATAATTACATTAGGATGGATGATTTGTCCCAAATTCTAGATTTATTCCGCCAGAACGGGTAAAAATGTGATCAGCATCTCTAGCTCTAGCTATCTAGAAGTCATCATATATGGGATGGCAGTCAAATTCGACTAACAATTCATACTGTGACCCGTTCGGTAGTGAAGGTGCTTTGGCAGTATAGAATTGATTTACAATTTCCAACATTCACCTACAATTTGAGTATTAAATTTCATCACTTAGTAAATTCATAAACCATTGAAAAACTTCTTGATTAGATTTGGCTCATCGGTTCCGCAAGGTCCGGATTTGACTCCAGCAGAAATAAGTCGATTTCGAAAGATTTTGAATACTTACAAAATGGGAATTAAACTTTTTTATTTTCAATTTCGAGACCATTGGAACACATTTTAATTATATTTGAGTTATTGAGACTGGTGTCAAAAATCATATCGCAAAAGGCATAAGGTACACCGGGGCAAGTTTAATCGCATGGGGAAGTTGAAACGGTAGCTGTATCTCTTACCGGATGTCAATAATCGCTGAGATTATGTCTAATGTAGTAGTTTGCCTCACAAAAATAATTACACTGAATATTCACTTCCACTAAGTGATACACGTACCGTTTCAATTTTCCCGCGCGTTTCAACTTTCCCCGGTGTACATTAGTATATTTATTTCTTCCAAAAAATAGCTCGCACCACACTAGAAACCATATTTTCGAGAGAAGTCAATAGGATGTGCAGTAGAAAGTTGCGTCCTGGAAAAGTTGTGGAAGAAGACTAACTGGCAAAAGTTTATCGAAAAACATTCCGGGGAAGACAGAAGGAAATTTCAGCGAAAGAAAGTCGTAAGAAACTTCCAACGGAAGTCGAAAGAAACCACCAGAAATGTCAGAACAAAACTCTCGATGGGAGTCTGGAGAAACTTCATGGCAAATCCGGAAGACCTCTGAAGAATCATCCGGTAGGAAGTCGAAAGATACTTTGAGACTCGAAATACTTGAGCTTGAAAGAAACTTTCGCTGCAAGTTGGAAGAATAAGAAATTTCCAGGGGATGTTCGGAGGAAACTTATGGAGAAAGTTTCTTCCAGGCGAAGTCGGAAGAATCTTGTCGAAGGAAATTGGAAGACATTTTTGGGGCAACTCATAAATATTTCTGGAGGCTGACGGAAGGATCTTTCTAGGGTTATCGGAAAAATCTTACGGCGAAAGTACGAGGACACCTACAGAGGATGTTGGGTAAGGCTTCCGGAAAAACAGGAGAAGCTTCGAGCCACCAAGAGAACTTCCAATCGAAGTTTGCAGAAACTTTCTGGAAAATCCAGAAAACACTTGTAGGGGAAACCAGGAAGTTGATCGAAAAACATTCCGGGGAAGACAGAAGGCAATTTCAGAGAATGGAAGTCGTAAGAAACCTTCAACGGAAGTCGAAAGAAATCACCAGAAATGTCAGAACAAAACTCTCGATGGGAGTCTGGAGAAACTTCATGGCAAATCCGGAAGACACTTGCAATGGAAGCCAAAATAACCACTAAGAGGTTTCGGAAAAATGTACCAGGAAATGTAAGGAGAACCATCCGTGGAAAGCTAGCAGAATATCCGGTAGAGATTGAAAAAACTTCTAGACAATTCGGAAGACATTTCCTGGAGACGCCAAAAGAACCTCTGAAGAATTATCCGGTAGGAAGTCAAAAGATACTTTGGGACTCGAAAGACTTGAGCTTGAAAGAAACTTCCACTGCAAGTTGGAAGACATAAGACATTTCCAGGGGAAGTTTGGAGGAAACTTCTGGAGAAAGTTTCTTTTAGGCGAAGTTGGAAGAATCTTGTCGAAGCAAGGTGGAAGAAAGTTGGAAGACATTTTCGGTAAAACTCAGATATATTTCTGGAGGCTGACGGGAGGATCTTTCGAGGGCTATCGGAAAAATCTTACGGCGGAAATACGAGGACACCTCCAGGGGATGGTGGGTGAGGATTCCAGGAAAATATGAGACGCTTCGAGCTTCCAAGAGAATATCGAATGGAAGTCTTCAGATACTTTCTGGTAAATCCAGACAATACTTGTAGGGGAAACTAGGAAGTTGGAAGACGTTCCAGAAACCTCAAAGAAACATCCTAGGAAAGTTGTGGAAGAAGACTATCTGGGAAAACATGATCGAAAAACATTTCGGGAAGACAGAAGGCAATTTCAGAGAATGAAAGTCGTAAGAAACCTTCAGAAATGTCAGAATAAAACTCTCGATGGGAGTCCCGTGAAACTTCACGGAAAATCCGGAAGACACTTGCAATGGAAGCCAAAATAACTTCCAGGACATTTCGGAAAAATGTCCCAGGAAATGTAAGGAGAACCATCCGTGGAAAGCTAGCAGAACATCCGGTAGAGATTGAAAGAAATTTTAGGCAAGTTGGAAGACATTTCCTGGAGACGCCAAAAAGGACCTCTGAAGAATCATCCGGTAGGAAATCGAAAGATTCTTTGGGACTCAAAATACTTGAGCTTGAAAGAAACTTCCGCTGCAAGTTGGAAGACATAAGAAATTTCCAGGGGAAGTTCGGAGGAAACTTCTGGAGACAGTTTCATCCAGGCGACGTCGGAAGAATCTTGTCGAAGGAAGTTGGAAGACATTTTCGGAGGAACTCAGAAATATTTCTGGACGCTGACGGAAGGATCTTTCTAGGGCTATAGGAAGTCTGGAGAAACTTCATGGCAAATCCGGTAGACACTTGCAATGGAAGCCAAAACAACTTCTAGGAGGTTTCGGGAGAATGTCCCAGGAAATAGTAGAAGAATTATCCAAATCCCATCCATCATCCGAGATTGAAAGAACTTCTAGGGAAGTCGGAAGCCATTGCCTGGAGACGCCAAAAGGACTTAAAAGAATCATCTCGTAGGAAGTCAAATGATACTTTGGGACTCGAAAGACTTGAACTTGAAAGAAACGTCCGGTGGAAGTTGGAAAACATTTCCTGGAGAATTTTAGACGAAATTTCTGGAGAAAGTTGAAAAATTTTACATACGGAAACCAGAAGAATTCTTCTAAGAATCTTCTCGAAGGAAGTAGGAAGAAAATAGGAAGTCACTTTCGGGTGAAGCTAGAAAGATTTCTGGAGGCTATCGGAAAAATCCTACAGGGTAAGTAGGAGGACACCACAGGAAGATTCCGGGAAAATAGGAGAAGCTTCGGGCTACCAAGAAAATCTTTAGAAACTTTCTGGAAAATCCGGAAGACACTTGCAATGGAAGTTAAAAAAAAACTTCTAGAAGGTTTCGGAAGAATTTCCCAGGAAATGTAAGGAGAATCATCCAATTCCCATCCATCATCCGAGATTGAAAGAACTTCTAGGGAAGTCGGAAGACATTGCCTGGAGACGCCAAATGGACCTTAGAAGAGTTATTCGGTTGGAAGTCAAAAGATACTTTGGGTTTAGATACAATAGAACTTGGAAGAAACGTCCGGCGGAAGTTGGAAAACATATGAAATTTCCTGGGGAATTTTAGACGAAACTTCTGAAGAAAGTTGGACAATTTTACATACGGAAACCAGAAGAATTCTTCTAAGAATCTTCTCGAAGCAAATAGGAAGAAAATAGGAAGTCACTTTCGGGTGAAGCTAGAAAGATTTCTGGAGGCTAACGGTAGGATCTTTCTAGGGCTATCGGAAAAATCTTACAGGGTAAGTAGGAGGACACCACAGGAAGATTCCGGGAAAATAGGAGAAGCTTCGGGCTACCAAGATAACTTCCGATGAAAGTCTTTAGAAACTTCATGGAAAATGCGGAAGACACTTGTAATGGAAGCCAAAATAATTTCTAGAAGGTTTCGGAAGAATGTCCCAGGAAATGTAAAGAGAATGATCCAATTCCCATCCATCATCCAAGATTGAAAGAACTTCTAGGGATGTCGGAAGACATTATCTGAAGACGTGAAAGGGACCACAGAAGAATCCTTCGGTAGGAAGTCGAAAGATACTTTGGGTCTAGATTGAAAGAAACGTCCGTAGGAAGTTGGAAGACATAAGAAATGTCCTGGGGAAGTTCAGACGAAAGTTCAGGAGAGTGTTGGAAAATTTTACATACGGAAACCAAAAGAATTTTTCTAGGAGAATTCGGAAGAATCTTCTCGCAGGAAGTTGGAAGAAAATAGGAAGACACTTTCGGGTGAAGCTAGAAAGATTTCTGGAGGCTGACGGAACTATCTTCTAGGGCTATCGGAAGTATCTTACGAGGTAAATAGGAGGATACCACAGGAGAATTCCGAGAAAATAGCAGAAGCATCAGGCTACCAAGAAAACTTCCGACGGAGTACTGGAGAAACTTCCTGGAAAATCCGGAGGAACTTGTAGGGGAGCCCAGGGGATTTCAGAAGAATATCCCAGGAAATGTAAGAGAATCATCCACGGGAAGTTAGTAGAACATCCGGGAGAGATTGAAAGAACTTCTAGGGAAAAGGACCTCTGAATAATCATCCGCTAAGTAGCATTGGCGTAGCTTATAGGGTGCCTAGGATGCCTGCCCCACAATATAACAATAGGACAATATAAATTATATAAATTTTAAAAAAATCTTGGAGGGGGTTGGGATCTAGATCATGCCTCCTAGGCATCCGTATTAGCTACGCCAAATGATAGGAAGTCGATAGATACTGTGGGTTTACATATACTTAAGGGTCTGTTCATAAACTACGTAGACAGTTTTTTGAGATTATTGACCCCCCCTCCCCCTGCGTAGACAATTGTCCGTACAAAATTTTTTAAATTTATATGGGCTGTGGATAATTCTCAACCCCCCCCCCCTAAACTGTCTATGTAGTTTATGAACAGCCCCTAAACTTGAAATAAACATCCGGGTGAATTTGGAAATCATAAGAAATTTCCTGGGGAAGTTCAGCTGAAACTTGAGGAGAAAGTTGGAAAATTCTTCTAGGAATCTTCTCAAAGGAAGTTCTAAAGAAAGTAGGAAGACACTTTCGGGGAAGCTAGAAAGACTTCTGGAGGCTGACGGAAGAACTTTTCTAGGGCTATCGGAAAAATCTTACGGGGTAAGTAAGAGGACACCACAGGAGGATTCCGGGAAAATAGGAGAAGCTTCGGGCTACCAAGAGAACTTCCGATGGAAGTCTGGAGAAACTTCCTGGAAAATCCGGAATACACTTGCAAGGGAAGCCAGAAATACTTCTAGGGGATTTTGGAAGAATGTCCCAGGAAAATCATCCGCGGGAAGCTACCAGAACATCGGGAAGAGATTCTAGGAAAGTCGGAAGACATTTCCTGGCGACGCCAAAAAGACATCTGAAGAATCATCCAGCAGGAAGTCGAAAGATACTTGGACACTCAAAAGACTTAACTTGGAAGAAACTTCCGGTGGAAGTTGAAAGACATATGAAATTTTCTGGGGAAGTTCGGACGAAACTGGAAAGTTGGAAAATTTTGCATACGGAAACCAGAAGAGTTTCCGGATGACTGCCTGCAGATTCTTTTTGGGTTCTAGGAGAAGTTGGAAGAATCTTGTCGAAGGAAGTTGGAAAAAGTTGGAAGACACTTTCAGGGGAAGCCATAAATACAGCCAACTCTCCACAACTCGATATCGAGTTATAGAACTGTAGTATAAATAGTTTCATGGGTACTCTGATGGTTATTTCTTATGGGATTGTTGTTCTATAACTCTAAAATTCTATAACTCGATGGTCCCTTCAATATCTAGTTGTAGTGAGTTCACTGTATGCAATTTGAAACCGTAGCAAATCATTTTACAGTTGCATTAATTATTTATTACGATGGGTCACGAGTTTATGCAACTTCTCAAAACAGATAACAATCTATGAAAACTGGAGAACCGCTGTACTAGATGGTATATTCAGTTTTGTTGATCATCCCCATATTTGTTTTATAGATTTCTCGAAAGATCATAATTCTACGAAGCTAATGATTCCAGTTTTAGTTTGGGTAAATTTTGTACGATTTTATGAGAAATTAAAATTGTCGACATCTCTGCAGATTTGATAGCTTTTCATTGAAATCCACATTGATGACAACATTGTGAGATGTCCAATAAATCGAACACGTTTGACCATCGCAACAAGCGCCTTTGGCTTGAACAATTAAGATCTTTCATTGAAAAATATGGAGACTAGGTATCTCAGTTGCAAAAATAATTACACTGAGATAGCAAGTTTGTTCGAATACTTTCGATTTATCTCTTTCAACTAGCAGTTAAATTTAACTCGTCAAAATTCATAAAAAATAATAATTTGATGCTAATTCAAGTCACACGTAGTCAAGCTTTCTCTCATACAACAAAGCTGGTCCCACCATTTTGCACACCGGTGTTTGTGATCGTTGAAATGTTGATGAAATATTTATCATTATGGCAATGAGAATGTGAGTCGAAAACCGAAAAGAAACGAACAAAAAAACACAACATGTAGAAAAATGAATACACACGCTTTTTCTGCGAAATTTGTGAAAATCCTTAGAGCAAATACTTACGACATTTTCCTTTTCGCGTTTGTTGAGTTGCAACTTTCGGAGCATCTGGTTGCGCTGTTCCATCATCAGGGTTCGCTCGTAGGTGTACGCCGAGATATCGCTATCCATCTGTGGAGGGTGAAGAACAAAAAGAAGAAGAAGATACGGCGATGAGAATATGAATAAAACTTTTCAACTCGGGCCCAAGATCTTTTTCTTTCCCTACAATGTGAGCCGTACTTTAGGATTCATACAGGAAGTTTTTCCCCCGTTTGGATGCTGTTTGGATGAGCTATTTTTGGTGTGGGTGTGAGATGAGTAGTAGCCCACCCCTGCCACGGTAGATTGGTGGGTGGTTTAAAATAATACGGGATTAAATGCGGAAAAATGGAGTATAGCTGGCACTGAGGCGGCCGAAGATTGATGAGAATACCAAGGGCGACGACTTAACCGCAACTGCGCGTGATGAAGTGCGACAGAGTAGGAAAAAAAGGATGAAGAGCAAGCAATTTCAATTTGAATAAATCGTTATCAGATTGGAGAGAGCGCTCTACGGTGGAGAACTTTTCGATGTGCTTGGCTGGTTTAATTGAGTCTGACGTTGTTATGTGCGGAATGGAATCTGATATGTCTGGTTTATGTCTTAAGATTATATTGAGAGAAACATTTATCTGCATTCACATTAGTCAAAATAAGCTAAAAGGAACTAAATACGGTAATAGTTTTTCGAAAACGGAAATTCAGAAAACCGCTTAAATAACAGAATCAGAAAAATAGTCCTATGGTTTGTTTTTTTTCCGTCGATCTTGTTTTCCGTGCTGAGCACCAATGCTACCGACGTGCCAGGAAGGCAGCTCCCACACCTGGACCCTACCTATCGACCCATCAACTCATGAACCGGGAACCAACGGCTTTACGTCCCATCCGAAGGAAGGCGTGATCAGAGATGTTATATGCCTCAGAACATCCCGGCGGCGCCGACTGGGATTGAACCCAGGCCTTCTGGGGTGAGAGGAAATCACGCTTACCACTACACCACCGGCGCCGTTATATTCCTTTGCGTTAAACAAACTAAAAAAATGTTTCAACTGTTTATGTACTGGAATAAAATTTAAAATATTATCAACTAAATACACTGTGCTACATGATTTTCGAGGATAGTGTAATTTTGTGATTTTTAATTTTCTTATGGCCTTGTAAAGGGCTTTCTTTGGTTAAGTCAGTAAAGGCGTAACCATGAAGCAATACTATGCTGGAGCCGGCTGGGTTTGAGGCAGTGTGGTCGACAATATTCAAAATAATCATTTTGCCCAAAATGTCGTTGATTATTTTGCTTTGAGGATCACTTCTGATTTTGACAATTTTGGGTTTGATAATCGAGCACTGGTGAATATCAACAAACGCGTATTCGTTGATGTATAATAAACTCATTTGTTCATTTCGCTCGTTTCGTAACTACGAAGATGTTCAAAACAAACGCAATTCATCGACACTGGGTTGAAGCGATACTCCTGGCATGTGATGGTAAATGATAAAAACAGACACTGATCTTAATCATACGAAAAATCACTTTTTCCCGAACAAACTTGAGCCATTTACCGTTAATTGTAATGTTGTTCTATTGTTGAAAATCCTGACAATATGGGACGTATTGTACATGTATTGTAATAACAATATGTTAAAATTTCTTGTACAATATAGATTGCTGACAATAGATTTAGTTGTAACTGTATTTTATTTTATGGTAATTGCATGGTTATTTTTTTCCGGGAAAAGCGTTCTATACTAGGCGTCATTCTGGTAGACCAGGAAGTGGAAGATGTGCCTCTATGCTGTAAACTAGTGTAATCTAGAGTCGGTGTATTGGTGTATAATGAGTCACGCCAAGAGTGAAGCCAAGTCTGCCTAATGAACTGTCAAACCGGCTACCTATCGTGCACAGTAAACAAACATTACGATGCTATGAAAGTTCCACGAAAGGTATTGCAATATAATATAAAATATAATCGAAGAAATGATCATAAATACGCAGTGAGCATTAAATTTTCATGGGATACGTTTGGTAATGATCAGTAATGAGAATTTCTACTATTTTTGGTTAAGATAATTTGAAAAAATCACTGATATAATGATTTACTACAGCCGCTTTTTTTTTTCTCGCTAGAAGTCATTTGAAGTTGATGCAGAAGTCCTTTGTTGCCAAGTGAAAATAAAGGGAATCTTTCGAAAACCGTGATGCGAGTTCAACTGTTTTTCTCTTGGCGTGACTCATTATAAACCGACTCTAGTGTAATCAATATGGTGATGGCATATTTCCTCTATGCTCAAGATTGCATGCAATTTAGAAAAATCGCGAATCACTAGGATAACTTCAAGGAATTGACCATTTCGCCGGTGAAACTGGATATTCAGAAGCGCACTTTATGGCTACCGGGGGATGGAACCAATATGGTGCTTAAACATATTTGTTCAACTAAGGGCTTTATGCATATTCTAAAAAAATCTAGACCCACATCCAGAAAATGACAACTTTTCCGGTGATTTCAGATATCTTTTTCTGGCGACCCAGTGCAGAATCTCTATGGTGGTGATATAGGTTCTCTATACTCAAGAGTGTATGCATTTTAGAAAAAATCGCAAATCTCTAGGAGTACTTTTGAGAATAGGTAACTTTCCCGATGAATCCGGATATCCAAAAAAGTGTTCAATAACCACCGGGGGACCAAATCAATATGTCACTGTGATATATCTCTCAACTAAGGGTTCTTCACATTTCCTAAAAAACGCGGATCTCTAGGTCTACTTGCAGGAATTTACCATTTTCCCGGTAAATCCGGATATCCGCAGGACCACCTTCTAGCTATCCATTAGCAAAATCGATATGATTATGGCATATTTTCTCTTTGCTCATGATTGTATGCAAACTTTGAAAAAATCGCGGATCTCTCGGTCTACTTTTAAGAATTGACATTTTCCTGGTGAATCTGGATACCCAGAAGGGCGTTTAATGGCCACCGGGGGACCAAATCAATATGGCACTGAGATATATCTTCTCAACTATGGGTTCTTTACATTTTTTTTAGAAATCAAGGATCTCTAGGTCTACTTTTAAGAATTGACTATTTTCAAGGTGATTTTGGATATCCAGAGGACCGTATTCTGGCCACTTGGTTGCAAAATAGATATGGTGATGGTATATTTCCTCTATGCTAATGCTTGTAATGCAACTTAGTAAAAATCGCGGATCTCTAGGTCTACTTTGAAGAATTGATCATTTTCCCAGTAAATCCGGATGTCCAGAAAGGCATTTAATGGCCGCCGGGGGACCACATCAATATGTCACTAAGATATATCTTTTTAACTAAGGGTTCTTCACATTTTCTAAAGAAGCACGGATCTCCAGGTTTACTTTTAAGAATTGATTATTTTCAAGGTGATTCCATATATTGAGAGGACCGTATTCTGGCCACTTGGTTGCAAAATTGATATGGTGATGGTATATTTGCTCTATACTCAAGATTGTATGCAATTTAGGAAAAAATCGCGGGTCTCTAGGTCTACTTTCTGGAATTGAACATTTTCCCGGTGAATCCGAATTTCCACAGAGCCACCTTTCACGGGAGCTAGATTTCTCGTTCCGATTGGCCACCCACAACTCCAATCGGTTCCTTGTCTGTTCCGTTTGAAAGTAGTTAGTCATACCTTTCAAGTAGGGGCTCAATCTTAAGATGTGGTAACCAAATTGCCTAGAACCAGTCATGTCAACATGAATCGACACGCATTTTGCTCGGGACTTTTCCGGGTTTTTTTCCGTTCCGGCTAGCCAACTACAGCTCCAATTGGGTTTTTATCTATTCAAAATAAAATTAGATAGCCATAACTTTCGATTGGTGGCTGAATCATAACAATTCGTCATCGCGTTGCTGAGAACCAGCCATTTCAACTATGAATCGACACGCATTTTGCAGCCTTGGTACTTTGAGGAAGTTTCGATGGCTTGGGATTATGTCAGTTAATACCGCGGTTCAGATTGGCTCCGTTATCTCCGGTGTGGTTACGTTTACAATTCTGCAAGCAGAATCCTTCTTAATATTGCTAATACGGGATCCACTAGCTCCACCAGCCTCCACAGTCAATCGAATCTCCGAGATCGTTCAGTCCATAATGTAATGAGCTGTACGGCTGACTGATTGATGGACCATCAACCGTACCAAACTGCTGCGGTTGCTAATGCATCTACAGAATGGCAGGATCGTTGTGCACCGGGTTCTTGATGACACCATTCATCAATGCTGCAATTGGAAATTGAATTCTGCAATTCTCTTTACCTATACAATTAGCTTTGGGTCCGGATCCTTAGGCCTACTGGATATTTTTCTGTGCGGCATGATAACTCTGACTAATTTGTTTGAATTTCCCCTAAAATACTTTCGAAACTATGGACATTTCCCAAAAGGCATGAGGGCACGGAGAGTCTCGTCAATTGTTCAATCTTTTATTATGATTTGGTACAATACCGACAAAAAATTAAACTGAAAAAACCCTTCCCCCTCATTTTGAACTAAACAAGTCGTGATGTCGTTTTATATTATATTCTGTGTCATACTTGTCAATCAAGTGCTCTAACGTGCCGATCAGTGTGCTACGATGTGCTTCGGCACAGTGTGCAGAGTTGATTACCCCTTGTACTTGCCACATAATGCAAAAATGGTACAGGCTTAGAAAGCTTCTTTCAATTAACAACTGTGAATGTGCTGATATAGAACACTAGTGGGGTCCCAGTGGGGTTGTAATAAAGCCAAAAAAGAAGAATATGGTCTCCTGAGTTGAAGTCTAGAATATATTTTTGTCCTAACACATCACAGGCTCTCTTTATAAGGCTGTACCGTCCCTACAGGCGTGTATGAGATTAGCAAGCTTGCAACACGGAAGGCGCTCCGCGTTATGAAATACACTGTCTAAGTATTAAGAATATCACCGAAATGAGTTTATTGAGTAATATCTGGGTCATAAATTCATAGTTTCGGAATCGATATAATTTGAAAATCGAAAAATCGAAGAATCAAAGTCGAACTTTAGAGACCTAACTTCACAGTGCTAAAACTTCCACGAAGCTAGAAAAGACCTCA